GTTGAAAACTGTTAAAGCCAGGTGATGGGGATATGGGAGCTTATTATACTATCCTATTTTTATATGTGTTGAAAATTTCTCATGTTAAAGAAATAAAGTGAGGAAAACTGACAGTGAGAGACTGAAATAAAGTTGCTCTATCATTATTTTCCATGAGTTGTGCCTATTTACTATTTCAGTTGTCACTTTTAATCTTAGCCCATTTTTTTCCCATGTGCTTTTCTGCTCTTGTTTCACGGAGTTCCTTTGCATCCTATTGAGGATGCTCAATGGGTCTCTACAATGTTCCAGTGTTCCTCTGATTCCAGTAGTAAATCATTTTCAAAGATCCTCGGAGTCTTTAGGATAATATTACATTTTTCTTCTTTGACAATATCCTTTGCCCAGGCTTTATGTGGCTTTCTTTTCCCCTCTAAGGTTTCGTTGTCAACTAAGGGGACACCTATCCAGACCTGTGCTTTCCGATAGAATGGGATGGGAAGATGGTCATTGGCAACATTCTCTGTCCATCTGGATTCTGAACCTCCTTTTCAGAGCTACAGCTCAATGGCATTTATATAAATGATTTCTAGGCCAATAGCTGGTGTCTGTTACTTTGGCATTTTTTTTTTTAGAGCAGCCAAATATGTATCCCAGTGAACACACTTGGGTAATCACATGCCTTTTCATTCTTATCTTAGGTCCCATAATCACTAACAATATGTGTAATTCTTTCTTGATGCATACGTGGAGACCCCAGAGAAGGAACTCTCTCTTTTTTTGTGCCGGGGTGGCTGCATACATTTGTGAAATTGAGCAAAGAGAAGAAGAATGAAGCTGGGAGCCGCTTTCAGCCAGTTTGTTAGGGGCTGCCCCATTTCATTACATAGCTGTAAGGTTCTTAGGCTGGTACTGCATGTGGCTCATATAATGTATTCAAGTTCAGCTAGCCCAGAGGATACTACACCTCCAGCATCCCCCATCCATGCACCACTCATCCATCATCAGACACTTTAAAACTTGCTTGTAGACATTCTATTTCCTGAGTGCTGCTTTGCCAGGATCCTGGAGCTATGAGCATTTACCCAGTCTGTTAGAAATAGTTACACTGGTCCTAAGACTTTGACAATAGCCTAATAAAAGCTCCAGTTCCACTGTAATGAGATACCACTTTATGCCTATGAGGATGGCTATAATAATACTATTTAAAAAAAAACAACAACAAAGTAATAAGTGTTGGTAAGCATGTACAATTGGAACCCTTGAGCATTGCTGGTGAAAATACTGCTGTGGTACAGCTATGGCAGAAACAATTTGGTGATGGCTCAAAAGTTAAACACAGAATTACCATATGCCTCAGCAAATCCACTCCTGGTTACACATACAAAAAATTGAAATCAGGGACTTGAACACATATTCATATGCCAGTGTTCATAGCAGCATCATTCACAACAGCCAAAAAGTGGAAACAATCCAAATGTCCATCAACGGATGAAGCAATAACAGAATATGGTATATACATACCATGAAATACTATTCAGCCATCAAAGAAATGAAATTTTAATATATGCTACAATATGAGTGGACCATTATGCTTAGTGAAATAAGCCAGATACAAAGGGACAATACTGCATGATTCCACTTGTATGAGGTACCTAGAATAAGCAAATTCATAGAGACAGAAAGCAGAATAGAGGTTACTAGGGGCTGGGGTTGGGGTATGAGGAATTATTGTTTAATGGGTAGAGTTTATGTTGGTGATGGTAAAAGTTTCGAGTATAGATAGTGGCAATAGTTATACAACATTGTGAATGTATGTAATACCACTGAATTATATACTTAAAACCAGTTAAAATGATAAAATATTATATATATTTTACCACAAGAGAAAGGTATCCCTTTAAAACAAAAACAAACTCCAGTCTGTCACCTGTAAAATTCTATGACGCCAATGACAATCATAAAATCTTGATTAGCAGGGTAGACTTCTTATCTTTAACATTACTGCCCTGAGGACTTTTCATACAGTGAAACTGTTGTGCAGTATGTGACCTACACAACCTTACGTAGTGTCTCCATCTCCTTCCCATCTAAAAGCGGTGAAAAAACATGGCTTCATGTAATATGATTTTTTAAATATTGTGGATCAATTTCTTGGTAAAATGGGGTAGGCTTTCCTAAACTCAAAGAAAATATATGAAGAAGCAGGAAAAGTTGCAATCTTAAAACTACAAAAATTAGAATTGACTTTTGATCTATTGTGAGACTCTAACAAACTCCTTACTAATTACAAGGTCAATGAAACGGGGTTGAAAAACGCAACCAGCCAACCACCCCTTGAAACAGAGAATGGCCCACTGTGGAACAGGGTCTGCATCTTGCACAACCACAGAAGGCACCAATCATATCATAGTCTAGGTGGTCAGTAGGCTGGACCATCCGCCAAACACAGCAACCATATTATGGGAAACTGTGCAAACAATTCCCGCTCTACCTTTAATTCTCCTCTATCCCCAATTCAAAAACAGAAGCCATATCCTCTGCAGAAAATGTGGTAGTTATCTCCCTTAATCTTGGATGCTGCTTTTTAAGGAAGCCAGACTAATATTTTCTTCCCCAACCTATACACTGCCCCCTTCTTCAGCAATGACAATTCTCTAAAAGTAAATGAGCAGAGATCAGAGCCTGGAAGAGAAAGTGGAGGAAATAGACTGACAATTTGTATCCTTGGACACATAAATTAAGGTAGGATAGGCACAGTGGCTCATGCCTGTAAATCCCAGCACTTTGGGAGGCTGAGGTGGGAGAATCACTTGAGGCAAGGAGTTCGAGACCAGCCTGGGCAATATATTGAGACCCTGTCTCTACAACATAAAAGAAAGAAAGAAAGAAAAGTAAAGAAAAATTCTGTATGGGAAGGAGAAAAAAGTACCCTGAAACATACTAGGGATTATATTTTTTCACCTACTTCCCCACTTCAGTCACTCAGAAAAGTTAGATAGTAAGAGGAAGAGAAAATCCTATTTCATCCTCAGGAGATGAGAACAGAGGTGATGTTATTCCTCAGGAGATAAGAACAGAGGTGATGTTGAACATATGTAACCACTGAAACGGCATAGGCATGGATCATGCAGAAGAGATACCAGCCATAACCTGGTCTAACTTTACCAATGAGCATTGCCTCAGTGTGCTTTGGATGAGAGCTTTTTAGACACTGAGAACGGACCCAGGAACTATCTTCTGGTTGACAGACCTTCATCCCAGCTACCTGAGTGCCTGCATTTCAGTCTTGGCCCAGCATTGGCTGGATCGAAGTCTCTGGCTTGTCCCGATGATTCTTTTCCTCAGTGCATACAGAGAAAGCTGGTCATCGTCACACAATCCACTCTCCCTTTTTTCTATGATACAGGAGTAACAGAAGTTGAAAATCCAGTCACCCAGCCAAAGATTCCATTTCCTACCATCTCTTGCAGCTATGCATTGCTGTGTGACTAGGTCATCATCTATGAGATGTGAGCCAATGTCTCGACGTTAAAAGATGCCTTCCTCTTGCCTAGTTCTACCATTTGCTTGGCTGGAATGTGGAACTAGCAGTGAAAGCTGAGATAGCCATCTTGTCAACAGGAAAGAATCCAAGTGTTGACAACGACAGAGCAACTGCAGAAGGAACTTTGTTCTCTGAAGGTTGTGGAGCTACGATATCCCTCTCTAAGCCTGAATACCATCATTATAGCATCAACTGCTTAACTCTCCTTAAGTGCAGCAAGGAAACCTCAGCATATAAACTCTATACAAATGAGGACACACATACCGTACTCTATTTGGCAAAGATGAACTTTAATGTGTGCAGGAATCACCTGGGAGTCTTGTTAAAATGCAGTCTGTTTCAGTAGGTCTGGGCTGAGGCCTGACATTCAGCATTTCTCACAAGCTGTGATGCCAGTGATGCTAGTTGGGTCACGCCCTGGATCTAAAGCAGTGAACCTGAGTTTGAGGCGAGCCTGGTGAACATAGAAGATCCCATCTTTAAAACTAAAAAAGAAAATTAGACAGGCGGCAGGGCGCACCTATAGTTCCAACTACTTGGGTGACTGAGGCAGGAGGATGGGTGGAGCCCAGGAGCTCAAGGCATGTATCAGTAGTGGAGTTGGACAGGAAGGTATCAGAGAAGCTACCCCTTGAGCTACACTCTATCGAAATGCCCCCTTCTCAGTAAGGCTTCACCAGGTCATTTTTGTTACATTTTTCTTTAAAACTATAGCACACCCTGACAACTGCCTGCTTTATCTTCCCCCTCACCTGCACCTTAGAGAGCTTGTAAACATCCCACGTGCCATGCATTACACGTGTTAATTTTGTTTATTTGCTGCCTCCTCCCACTGGAATTTAAGCTATAGTCTGCAAGGAGTGAAGGAATGGCAGTCAGGTGAAGCTCAGTAAATGTAGAAACAGAATGCCTGCAGGTCGGCAGACATGTGGTCTACATTGTCAACATTAGCTCCCGGGAGGGATCAGAGATAGAACCATAGAACCGCACCTTTTTGCAGCCCTCAGACACCTCAAATAATGCAGTGATCTTACATATAAAACTAGTCCTCAAAAATTACTCTACCGATTCTCCTACCACTTCTGTTAATCCTCAGTTATGGAGATCTCACTTACCACAGACACCCCCAGCCCCTCCCGACAACTCTGTAGGGCAAATGTTATCAGTCCCGTTCCATAGATGAAGATACTGAGGCTTTGAGAATGTGGATATTTAGCCAAGACGCAGAGTGCGGAACTAAATCCAATTCTATTTAGTGTCAAAGATACGAGGGTTTTGATATGGGAGGCCCTCAGGCTTCAGGTCAAATAACTCCAGTGTTGGAAATGGAAGGCTGGAGAGGCTGTGGACCAGGTGATACATGTAATCTTCCTGGAATCTTCACCCCAGGGATTCCTTCTCTGATGATTGGCCTTAGGACCCTCTTCCAAGCAACTCCTTTGGGACCCTCCTGGCTTACCTGACCCGTGTTTTGACTGCTCTTCCTTGTATGAAACATATTATTGTAATGATGTCCACTCCGCACCCCCTTCAACTCTTCACAAATCTGTCTTCCAGTAATGTGCATCCACTGGGCCCACCTGATAGTCCCCTCTCCTTGTATCACCCCGGAGTGATGCTCGGCATAGAGTGTCGCTGTGACAGCAGAAAAGCATAGATGAAAAGGACTCAACACCCCCCCACCCACCACTCCTCATGCTTCCCGATACATTAGGGAGCACCCTCTTAAGCCATAAACATGTTAACATTTAAACATTTTACCAAACAAAAGCAAGGCCACTGCACTTCTAAGGGAATCTGAGTCTGTAAATGAAGAAAATTCTGTCGATACTCACTTCCATCCAATTCTGCAAAGGAGCATTCATGGAGTGCCTGTCTGCTCAGGGGTTCCACCTCTGGGGGGAAGAGAGGGTAGGAGGAGGGAGCCCTTAAAGCTGAGGACAGGATTTCTGCATTCAGCTTCACTTCCTGCCCCCAGCCTGTTAGGAAAGCTTGCACAGGTCCTCAAACAGAATCCCGCACCTGCGACCTGCACCTTCCGACCAGCGAGTGCTCTGCTCCATTATTAAAGTGTCTCTGCAATTACAGTGACAGGTGGAGAGTGCCTGAGAGACAACCTGGCTCTCCCTCTTCCTGAGAGTGACACATAATCATGCCCTGCATTTAGAGAGTGCCCTTCTCTGAGGAACTCGAATGGCCTTCTTGACATAATCTCATTCATTCTTCCAACTGCCTTATGAGGCTGACAAGGGACAGGTATTCTTTGCTAACCCTGCCTGCCCCATTTCTAGAGGAAAGAAGTGAGGCCCCAAGAAATTAAAGTCAAAATGAGACTATGGGAGAGCAAGTAATAAAACCTGAGTCTCCTGACCCCTATCCCACAAACCTCCCATTCCTCCCTTCCTGACAGCCTGCACACAAGTGCGGATGTTTATGTTTCTGCACAAGGACTTTTAAAAAAGGTTGGCTTTGTGAATCTGTGCTTCTCTGAGTAGGACAAGGTGAGCCAGCCTAAACAGAGAATTCAGGGTTTAAAATAAATAAGAAGCAAAGAGAAGATTGAGAGAAGTCAGAAAAGGAGGGTTGGGAGGCCCCCAAAGCTCAGAATGGGGTCTCAGTTGATGGTAACATCTGAAGGCATAGGTGTGTGCTTTATATCAGGCATGGAACACTGTGCACAATGTTCCACGATTCAGACACAAGGACTGATGCCTTGTTTAGTCTTCAGGGTTCGTTGGTTTTGAGAATATTCAAAACACAGGCAGATGGCCATGGTTTATGATTCTGTTCTCTCAGCTGTGGCTGCTGAGGTGTCCAGGTTGTTGATAAACAAGGAATAGAACACGGCATTGAATAGAACAATGACAGTGATAACAGCTAACATTTATTATCACATGCATAACTATTCACATGTTTTATCATATTTGATCCTCCCAACAAACTTATGAGGTTGTATTGTTATCTCATTTTATGTTAGAGAAAATTGAGGCTTAAAGAATATGACGGATGAGCCTAATATACTTAGCCTGACTTTTCTCTAATATTCCCAGAGTCATTTAAATGCTTCTGCAAGGAAAGACTGAAAATTGGTACAGCAGAAAGTTTCCTAACAGTCATTGGAATTTTTGATTCCCAAGAAAGCAAGTGAAATGATTAGTAGTCAATACTGGGAAGCATACCTCACTTTAAAAAATGTAGTGACGGCCAGGCGCGGTGGCTCAAGCCTGTAATCCCAGCACTTTGGGAGGCCGAGACGGGCGGATCACGAGGTCAGGAGATCGAGACCATCCTGGCTAACTCGGTGAAACCCCGTCTCTACTAAAAAATACAAAAAATTAGCCAGGCGAGGTGGCAGGCGCCTGTACTCCCAGCAACTCGGGAGGCTGAGGCAGGAGAATGGCGTAAAACCCGGGAGGTGGAGCTTGCAGTGAGCTGAGATCCGGCCACTGCACTCCAGCCTGGGCGACAGAACGAGACTCCAACTCAAAAAAAATGCAGTGACAATTTCGTATTAGAGAAAATCCAACTTGAAAACAATCACCTTAATGAAAAATTCAAACATTTAGGTAAGTTCTGTGGAGGTCTAGTATAAGTTGATTTTCCTTTAGTTGGAAAATAAGCTTTAAACTAAACGACACAAATAGTATTTTAGAAAGAAATTTGCAGTAGCTAGACTGTAAGCCTGTTGAAGTTACCTCCCAGGACAGGTACTCACCCTTCCCTTGCTCTGCACCTGAAAGGGTTTATGAGCACTTGGTACAGCTGCAAAGACCTGCCAGGTAGGCAATTTGAGAGAGTTGGCAGACCATTAGATTAAGAGTTAGGTGGCCAGGCGTGGTGGCTCATGCCTATAATCTCAGCACTTTGGGAGGCCAAGGCGGACAGATTGCTTGAGGCCAGGAGTTCAAGACCAGCCTGGTCAACATGGTGAAACCCTGTCTCTACTAAAAATGCAAAAATTAGCTGGGCATGGTGGTGCACACCTGTAATTCCAGCTGCTCGGGAGGCTGAGGCATGAGAATAGTTTGAACCCAGGAGGCGGATGTTGCAGTGAGCCGAGATCGCACCACTGCACTCCAGCCTGGGTGACAGAGCAAGATTCTGTCTCAAAAGAAAAAAAAAAAAAAGCCGGGAGACCTTGGGCAAAACACTTTTGTTTCTGTGGACCTCAATTTCTTTAGCTGTATAATGGGGCGTTCTGACAACCTGTTAGTGCATAACTCTAGGAACTTGCTCTGGAGTGCAGAAAATGTTGCTGCTGCTAAACCTCAGGGGAGGAGGGATGCCTCGTTCATACACCACCCTTCGAGTGCTTTCATTCCATAAAGATCACAGGGTCCCTCTGCTGCTTTACTGCCCATTAATAAGGCCAGGCACTCTCCTGCCCCCAAAATAGGCTTGTTCAAGATCACATTCCCGTGATACATGTATCACCAGTGCTTAGCACATAGCAGCTATTCAATAAATACTTGTAAAGAAAAAAACTGAATGAATATTTGTGAAAGAATAAATGAACACAGGGACATCTTTGGGAAGTCAAGGAAGAAAGATATCTTTGATTACAAAGAATCCCAGGCTTTTCCTCAAGATATTCAGAGATCTTTTAAAATTCGATTTAACTTAGATGGTAAATTGAAAGATAAGGAATACAAATGGCCAAGGAGAATATGAAAAAGTTGTTTAATCTCTAGCAATCAGGAAACCACAAATTAAAACAGTAACAATTTTTAAAATTTAATTAGGGGAAAAAATTCAATAAGGGAGGAGATGCTACTGATAGATACATAATTTGATAAAGACCATGCAGGACAATTTGATGTTTTGCTCAAAAGTAAATGTGAATACCTTTTAGTTCCTCTTCTGGGTATCCATCTATAAAAACACCCACTTTGTACTCAGAGGCGTACATGAAGGATGTTCATTACAGCATTCTACTTAATAGTGAAAAATTAGGAACAATTTAAATGTCCAATAGGGGAGTGCATTCATCAGAATATACTAGATTATGCTATAGCTAAAAAACAAAAAATCAGTGGCTTAACGAAGACTTTCTACAAGGTCTTCTCTGAATCTAGACAACTCCTAGGGCAACCTCTATTCACGTCAAGATTCAGCAATCTAGGTTCTCTTGATCTTGTGGCTTTATCATCTCAATAGGAGGTCTTCTTTACTGTGGCAGGGAACAGAGGGCTAGAAGGTCTGATACCTGCAGTGAAATACTGGAACCCAAAAGTGATACAAGTCACCTCTCTCAACCCACTGGCCAGAGCTAGTCCTGTGGCTCCAAATAGCGGCAATAAAACAAAAAGTAGAAATCTCTCATGTGTCCAAGGGAAAGGAGAACTGGATATAGGTGAACACCAGAAGTCTCACACCCGGGAAAAGGCTAAATGGTATATCCAGGCTATGGAATACTACACAGCTGTTTAAAAGCATTAGGTAGATCTATATTTAGTGATTTTTAAAAAAAGATCTGAGACTTTAATTGGCAAATATCTTAAACAACTTGATCTCACTTATATTAAAAATATGTTTATCTATATTTATGTATGTGCAAATGAATAGCAAAAGGTTTATGGAGAATGATACAGTCCAACAGTGGCTATTTGGGAGGAAGGAGTTGACTGGAGGAAGACTCAAATGAAGGGGACTTTCAAGTTTCCCTGTGTATTCTTCTGCATTGTTTACCTCTTTTAAAATGAAGTTGTATTCACATAACTTAAATTTCTTTCACATTTGTAAAAAGTAAGTAAACACATCTGGGAACCTCTCTCCTCTAGCAGCTCTTTAATAGGCTTTGAGATTTTTTCTTCCAAAAATGCAAATATATCAATTTTAGCAAATTAGTCACCTGTACTTTGTTGTCATAGTCAGAGGCACTTAGTCACAGAAAGGACTTAGAATATATCATTATCTTCAGTCTATACCCTAGAAACAGAATCTGACTCTGAATTGTTGGCACATGTCTGCTGGGGTGTCAGGAGCAATAGCCATGAGCGGTGACAGAAGCCAGCCCGGGCACCAAGAGAGACTGAACTGTCACATAGTTACAGTGGAGGCCTCGGTGGATCAGACTGGCCACTCTGACCGTCAGAATTGCTCTGCCTTGAGGCAACTGCCCCATCCCCATCCGACAGCTCTTACTTAGCTGGGGCGGCCCCAGGGTGTGGGTGTGACAGTGACCAAGGACCTCTCAGAGAGGACTAAGCTGGGTGCACTTCAGCCACCAACACATACAGCAACTGGGGCAATGAGAGTCCCAGCTTGAAGCGGGGATTTGGACTGTTCTTCACCAAGGATCCCACTACCATCACATCCCCAACTTCACCCAGAGAGTGATAGTTTAACTAATGGCATAGCAAGAGCCCAACCTGGGGAGTAGAAAACTGGGCCTTACCTAGCACATAGCATACATTCAGCAAGTATTTGTTGGATGAACAAATGAATGGTGCTATCCTTGGACCAGGCTCACAGAAGCCTGAGGAGCCTGTGAGAGTGGATCAAGGAATACGATCCCTAAAGCAGAGTCTCCATACATTGCAGAAACAAATCCAGGTGAGTCTGGACCTCACACTCTCTAGGCCTCACCCTGTTGGTTTCCATTATTCTCACAGGCATGGAGGGAGGGAACACCTGGAGGTTGCAGGAGGCTAAGCCAGCCTGTGATCATCCAGGCTTCCAGCTTCTTCCCCTTCCTTCTGCCCTATCTGGTCATTTCTCTGCTTCTCAGCACTTTCTTCTAAGGGCATCCATGGGAAGAAGAAGGAGACAAAGCTCTAGACAGATGCTGTGCCACTGGAGGGTAGCCCTGGGGAAAATAGTACAGCTATTGAAAGGAGAGTTGGTTCCTATTGACTCTTAAGACACAAGCTAATTATTGGTTAAAATGGGTCGAAGTCCTTGGAATGTTCTAGGCCAGGGTTTCTGAAACTTAAATGTGAATACAAACCATCTGTGTGTCTTTTAAAAATGCATATTCTGATTTAGAAGGTCTGCAGCAAAGCAAAGTTTAGTTTTCTGTTTTGTTTTGTTTTGTTTTGTTTTTAAGACACTTTCTCACTCTGTTACCCAGGCTG